TGTCAACTAATGAACCAGAACTTATGAACTTTTTGCCAAAACGAATAACAACTTTATTATTGAAAGAAGCAGAAAAACTGTTCATAAACAACTTAGAAACTGAAATCAAATTCTTTCTAAAACTAGGAACATAAAGACAATCTTTCAAAACTAGAAACCTATCTAAGCCAAAATCTAAATATACGTCTCCCACTGCAACTGCTGACGCTCTACTAGCATCGCCCAAGTAGATGGTAACTTCTTCTTCCCTAAGTCGTTTGGTTTCCTGGAACCCCTGCATTTAATTGCAGATATGATCAGTGGCTCCTGTATCTACACACCAGGTACTGGTAGATAACACCGCTAAACATGTTTCAATGACTAAAGAAAAAGATATACCTTTGCCGAACTTCTTGAGGAGAGAGCAGTCTGCCTTCCCGTGTCACTACAAGAAATTTCGCAAAACATGACGAAAAAATTCGTCATGTAAGCCTTATTTTCCATCACAAAAGTACAATGATGACGAAATTTTATCGTCACAGCGATCGTCACCGTAGCCGCGTCATATTAGGTATAGGTGACAAATTTCGAATTTGTGACCAAATGTTCAACTTTTAATGATATTTATAAGTTTCGTCATGATATTTCGTCACTTTTCGTGACAATAATTTCGTCACGCTTATTATGGAAATTTTGTCATGTAAATGATTATTTCGTCATAACAAACCAAGTTTTAAATTACAAAAACTTAAATTTGTCATCGAAGTATTATTGTTTAGTGACGAATTTTATTTTTTTATCAAATTTATAAAATTTCAATGACGAATATATTTGTGACATTTTCGTTAAAATAATCGTCATATTTCAGAATTTGTCATGAAAGAGTTGTTCTATAATTACAATATATTGGTCATCATGAAAATAAATTTTAAATATGACGATACCAAAAGTGTCACAAAAAAATAGAAGTAGTGACGAAATATTCATCGTCTCCAAAATATACAACAACGACGAATTCTTTTGTATAAATTATTATCTCTATGATTACGAAAAAAAAAAGATTGTCATCAAAAGATTGATATATAATGACAACATAAGTTGTCATGAAAAGGTAAATATTTAGTGACAAAATTTATTGTCATTTTAACATTTCAAATAGTGACAAATCCAAACAATACACCACAATTACATGTTGTGAAAAAAAGTATTTTTAATGACAATTTAAAATTGTCACTATTACAAATATAATAATTGTCATTAATTGCAAATACTTACGATATATTTATTTTCCATGAAATATATAATACAGTGACAAAAACTATCGTCACTCCAAACAATTGTCATGAAAAAGAAAATACAGTGACAATTTATAAATAACATATGATGGTAATATGTTGTAGATGATAAATTAAGAAACGACAATAATAATAATTTTGCTAATTAAAAACTTCAATAAACGAACTAAAAATCTCAAAATATTCCAAATAAAAAATAATAATAATAATAACAAAGCTAACAATCTCAGATTATGTTCCCATTGGCAGCCATAAAAGCCATAAGTTTGTCTACTTTTGCATTCAAATCACTAACTTGGTCCTTAAGCTCAATCACTTTTGATTCTTTCTCACGCAACTTTTCTTGTGTCTCTGGAAGCTCCTTCTGACCATTCGAGTCATATGCCTTGCGTCTACTTGGCGGCCTCGGGCCATACCCATAACCTTTTATATATCCAACTCCATGGCCAAGAACCTCAAGAAATATATCTTGTGCATTCTTCTCAACGCCTTGTTCAGAATATTTTTCTCGCCTTGATATCATTAAGTCCTGACAAATACCAATAAAAACCATATAATCATATTAAAATTCATTTCAACAATTAGAATAAGAGATTGTGCATGCAACTTACCCAGTTTTCTTCTGCCTCTTTTGTTGACCAACCACCTTTTTCCTTATAATGCGTACGCTTAAAAAGCTCAATCATATCTAGTGGTCCTCCATTCATCTCCTTCTCAGACTATAAGAATTTTTAACAGTAAGCATAAAATAAGCATAAAGAGTTTAAATTCAAAAAGAAAAAAAAAATTAAATTAATCATAAATAAATTAATATATTCAACAATCAACATAAACTTACTATTTCATGTTGAAGAAAAGTAAAAGGTGTTCGGCCCGAAACATGTGTAGCACGCAACATTTGTCGATTCGTCACATTAATCAAACTTTGGTGCTGTCAAATCATAAGTAATGTGGTTGTAGAAAACTAAAAATATGAAAACTACAAATTTAATATGCAAAATAGAAAAATAATGTTAATAATGCATTACCTTGAATTTAGGCAAGGCAAAAAGCTCACACATTTCTTCCCAGTTTTCGTGACTAGCACAAAAAGATGGCTTGTTATTCTTGGCTTCTTCATGGGACGAATATTTCTTGTAATGTTTATGCAGTCTGTAACATTTTTGGCGTGTAACTAGCTTGAACTCTATCAATCACACAACGTTTTACACCCGGATCATCCAAATTAATATCCATGTGGATCTACACAAATAAAAATGAGATTATTTAAGGTGATATAAATAATGTATTCATGCGACTTGAAAAGTGTTTCTAATTTTTACCTTTATATGATCAATACCAGGTTGAAGATCTTTTTCTTCATCAACATCTTTCCACCTTACTGGCACCGGAAGTACGTCTCGGGTGACTGCACCAATTTGACTAGAAAACTTTGAAGACTCGTCTCTACTTTTAGGTCTTCCGATCAATGGATCCACAGTTACCTTCATTTTTTTCCCGCAAGCCTGGAATGCCTTCATAATACCTTTGCCCATGGTTTGTCCACGTCTTTTCTTAATGGTGGTATTAGAAGCTGCATATTCACCACTCAGTTATTTTAATTAGTCAAAAGCTTCATACTCATAAGATATAAGAAAACTTAAAAATATAATCGAATGTCCGATCTCTTAGCCACAAATAGATAGCAGAACAAAATTGATTGCACTAATAAATGATCAGCAGGGTATAGTGTTAATGAATCATGCTCTGTTAGAATTTTTCACATAAATAAAAAGAAAATAAAAGAAGATACATACAAAAAAGTTGATTTTTCTATCCAGATAATGAATGTAAAAAAAATGGTTGGAAGGCATGTTTCTAGAAAACAATAATCAGCGTGAAAGAGTTAGTGCGATTCAAGAAAAAAAGCACAGAACATGGTTTGAGCAAGGATAATTAACGTAGTATATGTAATATCCCGACTTTTATCAGTATAATAATATTTTAGTTTCGATATTATTTTTCGGAATTAATTATTTTCAGTCAGTTCAGTCGAAATTACCGAAA